ATTAAACATCACCAAATGGTGCACAGAACGACTATTTGACGTATTTTGTAAAAAGGCAAAAACTTAGCTAGTAACATCCTAATACCATTCGAAAGGTAATTAAAAATTGCATTTCCTGGTAGGTTAAAAAATATGGGGTTGTATTTAAATTAATCAAGTTAGAGCCACTTAAAGTTGATTAGTTTAAATTTGTGGACACCCTGTATAACATGGTAAGTTTACTATCATTGGGATATAAAATATTATATCTTGTTACACTTCACTATAAATTACGCTTACATAACTTAAATACTTCTAAAGTATTTGACACGTGAAAATTAGATTAGATTTGGATTAAATTCGTATTATTTAAAAAAACCTTAAGATTTAGATATTAAGAAACTTATTTTGTTCAGCGAAGCCAAAAAAGCAATAATATACAGGACACTCCATGTTAAAAAAAACGCAACTTTGATACCTTTAGAGCCTTTGGGACACCCTGTACATTACAAAAATATTTTTTAAATGTGCGCTCGGTTGGCCTCGGATAATTCATAAAATAATACTTTTTAAAAATCAAACGGTTTAGCCGCAAACTTCCGTGGCGTATAGCGTGAATAACCCTGTATACATGACAAGGTTTCGCCTACATGCACGATTCAACCTCTCAATAATCTAAAGTGAACACTTAACATCAAGTTCGTTGCGTAAAATGAGAGAATTTCGACCGATCACAAAGAAGTTGTCGGACTTTGCGATCGTTTTCGGTCACTACTAAAGTCGTCGTAGAGCCAAAAATCGTGGTCGTTCTTACTTAGCTTACACCCACCTAATCCAGTCAACACCTCTAAGGATACAAAAGTCGCAATTAATAGTCTTTAACTTCCCCACATGTGCGTGTATGTACAGTAAAGCAGCATGTGATTGTCTACGAATTGCGAAAAAACGGCGCTCGTCCATACGTACTCATGGGTATTCCGCTCGGTTTGTACATCTCGTTCTGGTCGTAGTCCACGTCGTAGTAAATCCCGCTTTGGTTCTGCAACAAAGTCCAACACCAGGTCAACACCAGCCCCAAAGATGCAAAATCCCTTCACTTACCGCTATCGAAGCGTTACTGCGGCTCTTCGGCCGGGGAACGTGAAAATTCCTGCCCAACAAATCCACCTTGTCCTCCTCCTCGCTGGAACTGCTGTTATCCAGAGGTCTCATACCCTGCATACTCCCAGCCTTATTCGCCAGTTGAGCCTACCAACAAAAATGGCAAAGTGCAAAAAGACACGATCTAAAAGCTCTTCTATACACGCAAGTGGATTCAAAGTACAGAAAACCCAAAATTCATCAGAAGAAAAAGATATGACGATACAAAATGTAAGAGTACAGAGGGGAGCAACATGCAACAAAGCGAGTAATGGAGAGGAGATTGAGGAGCGAGGATTCAATCTGAAAAGCCTCGAAGGCGAAAGCGTAAAAATATTATACCAAAAAAGATTAGACGAAAGAAGATATCAAGTAATGCATTCAAGAAGCATTAGGCAGCTGCAGAAAGAGCAATCGGAACAAACCGTATTGGTGCCATGAAGACATTGAAGAAATGATAGGGGAAAAGGAACGAAAACATCATAAACTCAACGCAACCAGAAGATCAATCAGAATGTAAAAAGGCAATAGGGAATGTTCCCTAATTGCCAGAAGATTTCAATTATATGAAAAACGGTTAGACTTGGCATAGCATATTATATGATGAACGTTTAGAATTTGGAGTAGAATTCAAAAACGTAATAATATATAGGGTGTTCCATTTAAAATACGCAAGTTGGTACCTACTGCCGGTATAACCGGAAGTGTGGGCGCCTTAAAAATATTTTACATCGCTTGCCCCACATGACTTCAGCACACTCTCCAATTTTCAAATTTCTCCTAATTATAGTTTGCCAGATATGATCGCGGCGGGACCCGGTGGGTCACCCTCTAGCAGATCAAGCTTTAAATTCATGGGGGGGTTATGTAGAAAAAATACAGTGTTCTGTTGTCTATGAAATTAGAACAATTATCGTCGTTTTGTGCAAGGGTGGCGCAAGATTATTGCAAAATTTTATTTTTCCGTCCCGTTTTGCATGTTCCTCGGAAGCAAAATGAGCAAGAACGCTCGTTTTTACATCACTCCAAAGAGAACTAAATGGCCTTTTTAGAAAGTGAACCATCGATAAGGAAATGTTGCAGTTTTTT